CCGCCGCCGCCGCAGTCGCCGCAGCCGCCGCTGCCGCCGCCAAGTGTATTATGGATTGTTTTTTGACAGGGTTGGTGGGGGGGGCCGCATCGGGTTGGCTGCGCATGTTCCGAATTTGGAGGCAGAGTGTGCTTCGCATTGTTTTTTGCAAGGAATGGTGGGGGGGGGGTGAAGTGGTTGTGGAAGAGGGAAGAGGAATCTCGTTAGATCACCTGTCGCCCAGAGGGCTGGTGGGATTATTGTTGATCCCTCTCCCCTGTGCCCACTGCGTTTTTTCAAATGAGGTGGCCCTCCCGGGGCTCGTACCTTGTTTTTTTCAAAGGGAAGTCTTGGGTCGCAAACTGTGCCCATGGCCCCCAGCTTACATCACCAACAACAGCAGCAATCATGTTAAAAGCGTTTGCTCTTATTTCCTCGCGTGCCGTTCAAAACGTATATCTCAAACCCTTGGAATCCGTCCTCTTCGTCGTCGATCTTACCCTCTTGGGGGTCGATCTTCCTTGCCTACCTCGTGCATTTAGCGCCGCCCCTAAAACAGGGGAAGGGCGGACGCATCGAAGGGGGAGGGGAAGGATGGAACACGACAAAATGTTGAAGGATATGGGCTAGGAGCAGAAAGCACGTGGCAGAACCAGACGGGTAGATCGGGCGGGCAGACCCTGCGGCTGGGTCGGGAAGGCAGGCCCAGGCGGCCAGGTCGAGCAGGCAGGGTGTGAAGCGTGAGCGATAGCGCGATTCCCAAGTACACCGCGAAACTAGCTACAGCGAGAGCGTGATTCCTGAGTGTCGAGGGCGCGCCGTCTGAGTCTATTGCGAAGCAGTCCCACGCAAGTGCGGGATTTCTGCAAATTTGTACACGGAAATCCCACGCGACAGCGCGATTTGGGAATACATTGTGAGGAAGTATCTGGCGGGAACCGTTGTTGTAGTAGCTGGGGGGGCCAGGGACACAGTTTGAGCAGGAATAGTTTTCCAGCGTCATGTCTTGCGCAAATTCAGGTTAGAACTCACCTTCCATGGGTGCTGCAATCTGCGAAAGTGTCGCCAGTTTCGCGGGCTGCTGGGGGGGTCCAGTAGAGTGACGTCTTACGCAGATTCAGGTTTGACCTCGCCATTCCTGCGGTGCTGCAGTTGAGGACATTGCCGCCACTTTCGAGGGCTGCATGGGCGTGGCGCATATCCAGATGAGACCTCACCCGTCCCTGGGGGCTGCGAACTGCGAGAGTGTGGTCATTTTGAAGGCCGCTGGGGGGTCCAGCATGGTGACGTCCTACGCAGACTCATCTTAGACCTCACCATCCCCGTGTGGGGGGGGGGCTACGAACTGCGAAATTGTCGCCACGTTCGTGGGCTGCTTTGGGGGTCCCGCACAGTGACGTCCTGCGCAGATTTAGATTAGACCTCACCATCCCTGCGAAGCTGTCGCCAATTTCGCGGGCTGCTGGGGGGTCCAGCATCGTGACGTCCTGCGCTGACCCATCTTAGACCGCAATCCTTGAGGGTGGGGGGCGCGAGCTGCGAAATTGTCGCCACCTTCGAGGGCAGCTGGGGGATCCAGCGGAATGGCGGCCCACGCAGATTCAGATTCGACTTCGGCGCCCCTGGGAGGCTGCGAGCTGCGATACCGCTGCCACTTGCGAATGCCGCCGGGGGGGGAGGGGTCCAGCATAATGACGTCCCATCAGGTTCAGGTGATTCAGGTTGGCCTTGGTTGCTTGTCCCGCGGGCCGCCCGCAGACCCGGCGGCGCGCCTGCGGGCGTTCAGCTCCTGCATTGCAAGGTGCAGGTAGAAAGCGGAGAACTTGGCGGGCGAGGGCGGCTTCGCTCGGTTCCAGCACGAGCGATGGACATATGATCATTTGGGGCGCGAGAGCGAAATGGCGCGGGCCGCCCTGCTTGCCCAGCGTGCCACTGGAACATGGTCGCCACCTTCCTTCGTGATCCTGCCTCTTTCGTTGACGTCCTCTTCCTCCTTCGATCGTCTCACTGCTGCTGTCGCCTTAACTGGTCGGCCCATCGTCCGTCCGTTTTTTCTGCGCCTCGCTCCCACGCCCACTTCCCTCAGCCTGTGTTGTTATGTTATTGTCTCGTGAGCCGTACAAAGCGCAAGCTTTCCATAAAGCGTGCGCGACCAATGCCAGAGCCTGTGTCCGCATGAACCGTACCAGTCTGGACCGGCTTTGTGTGGCACTTGGTGCAGATGGGTTGAGAATGTCGCAGAGTACTTGTACAACGAGGATGCGCGGAGGTCTCGCTACTCCATCTGCTCCCTTCGCCTTTCTTAAGCTGCATTATGACACATATTCCGATGATAACTCATCCGCTGGACGTTGAGTTCGAACTGTGAATTGAAAGCTTGAATGGCGAAAGCATCGCGACGCAACTACGCAAACACACGTATGTCGCATGTATGGTGAAGTACACGATGCGTCAGAACCATCACGTATAACCATCACCCTTTTTGGGATTATCTGGGCCGGTGATAGGCTGTTCCTGGCGCGTTCCTCGGATAGTCCTGCGGTGTCATTGGGATGCCCTTGGGGTGCTTTTGGGCTGTTTCGAGGATGCCCCAAAAATGTTCCTGGGGTGCTCCTGGGGCGTTCCCGCGAACGCGCTACGCGACGACACTTTGTAAACACGACGCACCGCGCACGGAGAGTGAAATACCCGTTGTGTACGAACACTCCGTGTATACGTTTCGCTCTTGGGAGACCCTGAAATGTTCGCAGGATGCTCCTAGAAGGCTAATTTGGTGCTGGCGGTATGCTCCCAGGATGCTCCTGCGTTCATCGGGCGCCAGTGCGGATGCGCCGCGTGAAAGCATTACGTGTGAAGTGGATTCTACGTACATCAGAAACGCTACGTACATAGAATACGCTTCTGGGGTTCCTCGGGACTCTCCAGGGATGCTCTTCTTGAGATGTTCCCCGGATGCTCCTAGAATGCTCCTGGGGTGCTCCCGCGAACGGGCTACGTGAGGGCATTGCGAACATACACTTCGCAAAAGCATTCAGTAAGTCGCATGGGGGGGTGGGGGCATGCGTGATTTCACTACGTCAACGCACTACGTAAACCACTACGCAAGAACACCCACGTCAAAACACGACGTAGATGCACTACGCTCCTGGGATGCTCCCAGGATGCTCAGAGGATGCGCCTGGGATGCCCTTGCGGGCGCGCTACGTGAGGACGCTGCGCCTATACACTTGCGTGAAAAGACGACGTTACTTGCAGGAGGGGGGATAGAAACTACGTGAGTCCACTACGTCAATGCCCTTCGTACAACACTGAGTGCAACACAAACTAGATGTGCCTGCACTGCGTGCATGCGCTTCGCTCCTGGGACGCTCGTGGGGTGCTCATCGGATGCTCCTGTGATGTTCCTGGATCGCTCCTGCGAGCGCGCCATGTGAGGACCTTGCGCAAGTACCACTACGTGAAAACACCCGGTAAATCCCTAGGGGGTGTGGAATGAACACTTGCTGAGCTCACGACGTCGGTGCACAAGGTGGACCATTACGTAAAACACGACGTAACAACACCACGTAAAACCACTGCATGCATACATGAGTCTCTGAGGATGTTCCTCGGATGCTCCTGGGATGCGCCTGGGGCGCTTCTACGAGCGCGCTACGTGATGGCGCTTCGCCAATGCACTACGTGAAACCACTGCTCACATCGAATGGGGAGTGGAATAGGTACTACACAGTTCACTACTTCAGTGCCTTACGTAAAACAAAAACACCACGTTGACTCCATTACGCTCCTGGGATGCGCCTGGGATGCTTCCAGGGCGCTACTGCGAACGCCCAACGTGAAGACGCTGCACCAATGTTCCTACGTGAATAGACTACGTAAGTGGCCAGGGGGGGCAGACGCCATGTCAGTTCGCTACGTCATTGAACTACGTAAAACACAGTAGGGCGACACTATGTTCAATACACTGCGTGCGTGCACTACGCGTCTGGGATGCTTCTAGGATCCGCCTGGGCTGCTCCTGGGACTCTGCTGCGAACGCGCTACGTGAGGGGACTGCGCAAATACAGGGCATGACAACACAACGTAAATCGCATGGGGGTGGACACCACGTGACAGCTCACTACGTCAATACATCACGTAAGACACTGCTCAAAAAATCACGACGGCGAATCACTGTGTACGTACTTTACGTAAAGAGCACGGTGAACCAATTCTACGTAAACGCAGCACGTAAAGTTCTACGTGCATGCATTGCCTACGTACGTTGCGGGGATACGTTTGGTAATTGCAATACGTGGGTGCATGGCCTAAGTCGTTTGAGCGACTACGCTACGTAATCACGCAATGTAAATACGCTACGTGGGAACGCGACGTTGAAGCCACTACGAACAGGCACTACGTCAAATCATGTTCGAAATCACAGCGTAAAATAAGCCACACATACGTAACACACAACACTCCGCACATACAACACGTTTACGTATATTGTCTACGCAATGTTTGACACACCACGCAAAACCAGTACGTTGATTATCTACATAGCGTTTATTGCCTAGTTTGTTTTTGTAGTGTCCAGTTCACCATTAGGACCTATATATGTGTCTTCGTGTTCGTCGCGAGTTCTGTCTCAGTTGTCGCTTTTTACCCGTGGACTGCGATTCGCATGATGCCGAATAGCCGGTTCCATCCATATCACCATTTGGTTCCTGAACGCTCATGCGATGCTTTATTTGTATTTCCTGTCAGGGACTGCCCCCCCCACGCCCCCGAGGATCAGTTCATGGTGCTGATCCTATCTATGTTTCCATTTCCTATCTACATGACAGGGCTTACTATCGCGAGGTTGTGGTTGTCTGCGCACGTTGCTGCGATGCTACACCGTGAGCCCGCACCGTCGACTCTTCCCTCATCCCTGATCCCGCCTCCCTCCTTCCCCTCCGCAGCCTTGCTGGCAGAAGCAATTTGGCTGGAGTCTCCGCTTCAACAAGTGTCTTAATTGCCAGTCGATCTGTCCTTACATCATGGCAACACTCAGTGCGATCCAGAGGGTCGTGGAGGCATATCTCATCAGCGTCGCACCAAGCACGCCTGCTTTTGGCTTCTTGACCCTGGTGCCGTGGAGCTCGCAGGAGAAGCCGGCCAACGTGTTGTCATCTGAGGCAGGTTGTGGAGAGTTGAGGTTGGAAGGCATCGCCCAGATAGTGGAGCAGCACGAGGTCGTGTTGATCGTATCCGTATACAAGACGAAGAAGGAGAAAAGACGCGTGGTATGTCTTTTGGACTATCTCGGGGCGGCGCATCCCGACGCGGTTGTCTTCCTGGTGCAGCTTCCAGATCGGTTGGACACCGAGCTGACCAAGGCCTACCACAGTGAATTGCTGGTACGGCATGACGAGCTCTACAGCCTTGGGGCGGATGGCGTGCTGATGGAGCTGGCAGGTAACCCTGGAAGGCTGCAGCATAGGGTAAGTTTGGAGCTCCAAGAGAACGCCGCCATCCAGCTGCGCGTACGGGCACATACCAGCACTTTGAACCAGGGAGTGCCTTCTGGCATGCAGCTCCAAGACATTGAGGACAAGTTCAGCAGTTTGCTTTGGAATGCCATCCCAGATATGCTGATGCCCGATTTCGCGCCTCTGAACGAGCGTCTCCTGGAATGTGGGAATCGGGTCGGGGAATTCCAGCTCGTGCGCCCGTATCCGGATCACCAGCACGTGTCGTTGGCTGTGAATGGGCAGCATGAAAATGTAGTGATCAAAGTGTACGACAAGCGCAGCATCACCGATGCCAATCGGGTGGAGAGCATATACCAGGAATTCTGCTTCTTGACGCACACCCTCGACCACCCACACATCATCCATTGCGTAGGCATGTTGCATAGTCAGTGTAGTGTGCATTTGGTTCTCCAGTATGGTGGAGATGTGTGTATGGAGCAGGTGTTGTCGACTCAACCTGGGTACCGCTTGTCCAGAGACGACGCCTTGGATTGCAGAACCCAGATCGCCAGTGCTCTGTCCTACTGCCACGCCCAGGACGTCGTCCATGGGCAAGTGTCTTTGAATCACGTGGCTGTAGAGACAGCACTGAATCGGCACATCTGCCGCCTTGTGGATTTCAGCATGGCAGCCCACGTTCCATTTTCCATCACAAGGGAGACCCTGTGCGGATCTCTGCCGTGCGTTGCTCCAGAGGCGGCGTTGAACGAGCCGTACTTGCCTAAACCAGCTGATTGTTGGAGTTTTGGGGTGCTGCTCCTGGAGACCGCTTGCGGGCAGGGTTCCCTCAAGTTGTCGGTCCAGTGGCGCCGTGGCGAGTCCCTCGCATACGCCGCGTGGCAAGTACTCCAGTTTTTCTCCCACGCTGGTTGCCACACCGAGGCGATGACGAAGATGGGTAACTCACTCGACGGCGTAACACTAGCGTGCCTGGAGGCGGTTTTGCAGCCCGAGCCGGCTCGCAGAACGAGTGCCTCCGACATGGTAGGGATGTTATCTACCAGGCGCAACGAGCAGGCCAGTTTGGAGTGATTCGTTGTTGGTTACTTTTGCGCTTGGGGCGCGCGTGCAGGAGTGCATGCAGCTCACATGTTGTGCGCAGGCTTCTTGCATCAAGTTTCTGCCCCTTAGAGCCATCTTCATGTGGTCCTTGAGCCCGATGAGGGCACTCGGACGCCGAGATGCCACATGACCGCCCGTCGTGATTTGTCCCCACCCTCCTGCGCCCTTTTGTCGTTTAGACTGAAGCACTGCGGTCGCACCCTCCTCCTCTTCCCGCCTCCCTCCTCTTCTCCTCTTCTCTCCTGCCTCTCAATTCGCTCCTTGTCTGCCTGCCAGCCTGCCTCCTGCCTCAGCATCCTACGTGACCTGGCCATGCCTGGAGAGCTGCGAACAGCCAAACCGCCGCCACGTTCGAGGGCTGCTGGGAGGTCCAGCAAAGTGACGACTGCGCAGATTCAGACTCGACCTCACCATCTCTTGGGGGGGCTGCGATCTGCGAGCCTGGCACCACCTTCGAGGGCTGCTGGGGGGTCCAGCACAGCGACGTCCTGCGCAGATGCAGGCTAGACGTCACCATCCCTGGGGGCTGCGAGCTGCGAAAGGGTCGCCACTTTTGAAGGCTGCTGGGGGGTCCAGCACAGTGACGTCGAACGCGTATTCATAGTAGACCTCACCATCCCAGGGGGCGCAACTGTCGCCACACTCGTGGGCTGATGGGTGGTCTCGCATCGTGACGTCCTTTGCAGATTCAGATTGCACCTCGCCTTCCTTCCATAAGGGGGCTGCGAACTGCGAACATGTCGCCACTTTCGCCGGCTGCTGGGGGAGTCCAGCATAGTGAGTGACGTCCTACGCAGATTCAAGTTAAATCTCACCATCCCCAGGGGTGCTACGATGTGTGAATCTGTCGCCACTTTTGGGAGATTTTGGGGGTCAAGCGTAGTAACGTCTTATGCAGGTTCAGATTAGACCTCACCATCCCTGGGGGCTACAAACCGCGAAACTATCGCCACGTTCGGGGGCTGCTGGGAGGTGCAGCGAAGTGACGTCCTTCGCAGATTTAGATTATACCTCACCATCCCTTGGGGGCTGCGAACTGCGAACATGTTGCCATTTTCGCAATGGAGACCAGCGACGGGTCACCGCCGGGTCACCCAACGGGACACCAACGAGACACCGACTGGACGCCGACGGTGTCCCGTCGCTATCCCGTCGGTGTCCCGTCGGTGTCCCGTTGGTGTCCCATCGGTGTCCCGTCGGTGTCACGTCGGTGTCACGTCGGTGTCCTGGTGGTGTCCCGTCGGTGTCTCGTCGATGTCCTGTTGGTGAACCGTGGTGAGATCGATCGAACGATATCGATAAAGGGATCACATCGCGGTGCAACACCGTCGCCACGCGTCATCGCCCACGTTCTCGTTCCACGTCCCAAGCTGGAAACCCTTGGTCCACGTTCTCGAGACCATCGCCCACGTTCTCGTCACCACGCGTTTCGCCATGTTCGTCTCACGTTCCAAATTCCAGCGCAAGTAACAGCATGTGCGGAGCTGTGCCGCGCGTGGTTCCAGGTACGCTCGCTGAACGGGCCGCACCTGCCTTAGCCAGCTGCTTTTTGGAGTCTCGGGGTGCTGCTCCTGGAGACCCCATGCGGGCAGGGTTCCCTGAGGCTGTCGCTCCAGAGGCGCCGTGGCGAGTCCCTCGCACACGCGCGTGCAAGAGTGCATGCAGCTCGCATTTTGTTCGCGGGCTTCCTGCACCAGGTTTCTGCGATAATTGTCTTCCAAGCGCGGTGAGTGCCCACGAGGCCTGCCGTGGTGTGGGCGGCTGCCAGTGCTTTTGTCCCCTCGTCCTGCAGCTCCGCGTCTGGCGCTGCTCAGTCCTGCCTGCGCTCTCCAGACGAAGGCAGGGAGGGAGTGGGCCGTGGTGCTAAATAGCGTCTGCGGGCGGCTGCGGGTGCATTTGCCGCCTCGTCCTGCAGCTCCTCTTCTGACGATTCTCAGTCCTGCCTGTGCACTCCCGACGAAGGCAAGGAGGCCGATGTACAGTTGCAGAGTCCCCTTCCCAGCAGTTGGTTGCAGCTGGGAAGCTGGGAAGCCTGCCCCAGCGGTTGCGGAGGTGCGGCCTGAAACATACCATCAGTTGGTCAGTTCTGTGCTCTTTGTCTCCTTCCTTGAGGCTCGCGTAGCCCATGTGCGCATGGGATGCTCACCCCCGCTCATCTGACTGAATGCCAGGCTGACCAACGTTCGTCAATTCTGGATGAGGCGGCTCTTTGAGATTTGCGTCATTTGCGACCTGACTCAACGACGCGGGATTGGGCAGTTATCCCAGATCTCTGACATTATCTCGTTTAGTTGTTGAGTGAGTCTGAGTGCGAGTGCGTCTGAGCATGAGCGAGTCTGCGTATGCGTATGAATGATTCTGAGTGTGAACGAGTCGGAGCGCGAGTGACAGAGGAAGCAGGCGGTGGGAAGGATGGAGCCAGACGTGTCCAACTACTGACGCTCACTTCGTTCTTCCACATGCGGTACCAATCAGGACACCATCACGCTTTGGGTATGGGTGGCAATGAGTAACCGCCTGCTGCTGATAAACAGGAACCCCCCTTAACACGCTAGAGTTGATTATCCACGGCCAATAAGAGTTTGGTCAGGGGCGCGGGGCGCGGAGGCCGAACTTTTTTATCACTGTGAAAAGTTCACCATCGAGGTCAACTTCCTTCTTATGTTGAGATAGCAACATCAAACGAAGCGAAGAAGTTGTCGAGGATGTCCCCAGCGAAACCAACAATTTTTGGAGGCAGCCTCAAGCGAAACGATCAGTTTTTCAAGGATGTCTCAAGCGGAATCAACAGTTCTTCGAGGATGTCTCAAGCGAAGCGAGAGACATCCTCGATCCTCGGCTTTCGGTCCTTTTGATATTATCTCTTTCTCCTCCCACATGCTGGCCTCCGGTAGGCAACTTTTATAATCCCCCTGCAACCCCGAACTTTTATCCCTGTGGCATTAGTCTCGGGGGCACTCGGTTATGAGCGGGTCGAGTTTGAGTGAGCCTGAGTGTGAGTGTGCGTTTGGGCATCGAAAAAGCATACGGCGAGCCACCGTCGCCCCCGCGAGCGCTGGGCCAAGGCTTTGCCAGCGGACGCCGTCTTGGGGCCTCTCTGGGCTGCTCTGCTGGCCTGCGGGGGCGCTTCGGGGCCGTGCTTGAGGGTTTCTCGGGCCGTCTTGGAGGCATGTTTGAAGGGGCCCTGGGACACACAAAGAAATACACACACGTAACAGGATTCCCCATATTCTCCTATATCTTCTGGGTTCTTGTCTTCCCCCCCACTTCCCATATTTTCCAATATTTCCCTGGGGATCGACGATTAATTGTGTCTGTGTGTGTGTGTGTTTTTTCCCTCCTGAATGTTTTGGTCTTTCCTGGAGGGATTACTTCAGCGTCTGAGGGCAGATCCCGAAGATTGTCACTGCCGTGGGCTTGCAGATCATAGGGATAAGGCTGAGCTCGAGGCGGGTTCGACCCTGGGGACGGACGACCGCTCCGCGAGCCTCCCCGGCTCGGGCCGACGCCGGGGTGCGCGCGCGAGACCCCCCGCCCCCGAGTTGCGCCGATCCCCGCGCAGAGACGGGCCATGGACTTGAACGTGGACCTCGGGCCCGAGCCCATCGACGAGCACTCTGGGCGCATTCTCGATGGGCTGCGCATCCAGCAGGACAGGGCCCTCCTGAGGGGAGGCAAAGGTACCCATGCCGCCACCCTGGCCTTGCTTTCCCCATGTGGGGCCTCCTGGGAGGCCCTCGTCACCCCGGCTGGGTTCGCCTCGAAATCCTGGTCAGAGCCCTCTCACGGAACAGCCCGGGGAGTAGCGGTATCGGTATTTGTTGGTATTTCCACCCCCAAGATGTTTCCAGTCTCTGGAAGATCCCGAGCAGTGGAGAAGCGTCCTGACTTGCCTGTAGACGCGCTAAGGAGTGTTCTGGCAACCTCTGTGTGATGTTTCAGGCATGCGATTCGCACATCTCTTTCTGAAACCGTCTTGTCTGCACACATCGGTCTTATGTTACAAGAGCACCTTGGGTGTTCTTGGAGCAATCTCTTGTTCTGAGAGCATACATGGTAGGCCTACGGCCTGTAGGAATACCGTGACGGTTGGCCCCTGCCCAATTTCATGCTTTGCACCTCTTCAGGCTCAGCCTGGGCCCCGGAGAAAAGCCTGCTGTCCCCGCTTGTGTTTGGTCCCTCCCGCGGCCCCCAAAAAGCCGCGAACCAAAGGTCACTCTTACCCAGGATCACTCATGCGCGCAGCCGAGTAGGGGGTTCGAGCTTTCTGGGGGCCCGCGCCACAGCAAGATCGTGGCGTCGGGTGGCCAGGTCCTCCCCACCGCTGGTCCTGTGTATCCGCCCTGGGCGGCCGCACCCCTCTGCCCCCCCAAGGCCGGGCTCGGCCAGGAAGCTCGTCGCCGTTGCTGCCGCCGTCGTCGTCGTCGTCTTCGTCGCCGCCGCTGTCGTCACCACTGTTGTTGTCGTCGTCGGCGTCGGCGTCGGCGTCGGCGTCTTCATGATGGTGGTGGTGGTGGTGGTGGTGGTCGTCGTGTTCATCAGGTCGCGCATCCTCGAGTGATTCCGCGCCGCATGACGCCGCGCGTACCGAAACGACACGGGCGGGTGCGCGAGGCGGTCGCCACCGCCGCCCCGGTTTGTCAGGAACGCAGCGACGAGCGGCTTCCCCCGGTTTCGGTCGCCTTTGGGGCCTCAACCCACGGACGGGCCCTTGCCTCACAATCTCCGCACAACGGTGGGTGTCGATGGCCTCGGTCGTAACCTTTCATGCAGTCAACCCGCATTGTGAGGATGGGCAGCCTTCCCAAGGCCACCCTTGCATCCTTGCCTCCTCGGTCTGTGCTTGGTCGCTTTCGCTGGCCGCGCCCCGCTCGCAAAGTTCCGAAACGGCCTTCAAGGCCCTCGCATCCTTACCGCGCCTCCTTGCGATACGGGCCGACGGCAGTTCCTGTCCCACCCGACGGGCCCACAGGCTGGGGCTTTGTTAGAGCTGAAGAGAGGCGGGCTGGACCGGCCTCGCACAGCCTGCACACCGCGGCCGCTGGGCCCCGAGGGTCCTGGTGCTCCCAGGGTATCCCGCCCCGCGTGCTCGACGAGTGACGCGTGCATGCGCCGGTCGCCCAAGGGGCCCCTGTGCTCCCGGACCATCCCGGCTCTCATTCTCTCGGGTGCGGCTCGCTCGAAGCCGAATGCTTGCTCTTGACTCGGCGTCGGATGTCGAGGGGGGGCTGCCCGCGGGTCGCCCAGGCGTGTCGATGGGACGGATCCCCAGACATGCGACGTCCTGATTTTTTCAGGACGGCGCCCCCGCAAGTCCCGACCCTTTCCCCGGGGCCGGTTTTTCATCCTGAGTCGTTTTTTGACGGTCCCGAGGCCCGGCGAAGGCCTCCAGAGCCCGAAAACGGCGAAAAACCTCCGTCCTGAATTTTTTACGACGCAAGCATGTCTGGGTCAGGTGTGGCGAGGCTGCGCCCAGGCACCTCCCGGAGGTGCTCGGCCCTGGCTGCCGTGGGCAGGCCGGTGTATAGGTTGTCCTGGGCGAGCTCAGCACTCGAGATCCGGCGTCGACCTCCCTAGACTTAAGTCGGGCGTGTCTCTCTACAGGAGGAATATTCAAGAATAGCAAAAAAATGATCTGGGGACGATTTTGGGACTATTTTGAATCTTTTTGCAGTCTTTTGGGATCTTGTTTGATTCGTCGTCCAAAATTCGCCTGAAGAGGGACAGGCCCGACTGAACCCCAGATTTACCCACGGGCATGCTGAGGCCCACCGCGACTGCTTACGAGAGCTCTCCGTGCGCAATTCTGAGCCTTGCCAGTCGATCGCCTGGCCTTCCCCCGACTCGTCTGTGCCGGCGCGTGCTGTCTCGCGGGTTCGGCTCCGTTCGCTCTCACTGCACGTTTGATGCGATCTGTTCTCGATTGCTGGGCGCTGGCCATGGGATCCCGATGCAGGAGAACAGCGAGTTGTGCGATTTGGAGCTCATCGTCGGCGGGCAGTCGTTCATGGCACACCGGGGCGTGCTCGCCGCGGTGAGCTGCAGCTTTCACTCGTGCTTGACCAAGCTCGGCTCCACCGAAGGCTACGAGGCGAAGCCCCTCACCCTGAAGCTTGACGACATATCCCACCCAGAGGCCGTGAAGGCGATGCTGGACTGCATCTACCGCCCGAGCGCAGAGTACGCGCCAAGCTGCGAGGACGCTAATCGCGACGTGCTTCGCTTGGCGCAGCGCTTCCGCATTGCTCAGCTGCAAGACTTGGCTTGCCGCTGGTTGACCACAGGTCTAAGCACTGCCGATGCCGCAGTAGACCAAGATCCGGCGATGGGAGACTGACATGGACCATGGGTCATGGAATGTCGTGGGCTAGCTGAGTCGATCGATCGATCGGTCTGTAGGAGGGCTCTACTCAAGAAGACTGAGTGGCCTGCCATCTAGTTCCTGTTTGCCCCTTGAGACAGACAGACAGACAGAGGCCCGGTCAAGCCACATGGGTTGGCCCGTAAACGGGCGAGGCTACAGCGCAGTGGCCTGAACAAGCACGCGCGCAACGGAAAGCAAACGTTGTGCCTCCGAGGGGGAAGGGGGGGGAGGGAGAAGAAGAGCGGGGGCGGTCCTCACGCGTGAATGCAAGACTCGACGAATGCATACTCGTCACGTTCATGTACGATTTCACACCAGCGAGATACAGTTGCAAAACATCACGGGCAAATCCTTGAAGGCGGTCCTCCCATCTCGTCAGAGGGCGTCCGCGCGCCCTTGTAGCCCCATGTGTATAGCATGGGATTGCCCAGAATACAGCCTCGCCAATGATGCAGTGTAATCTGCATCGACTCCTTGGTGCCGGAGGGCGTCAAAGAGAGGCCCGTATTCGATCCCGTCGAAAGTGTTGCGTAGGTCCAGACTGGCGCACCACAGCGGCACCTGCCACTCTAAGCATTTACCGCACGCCATATCAAAGACCAAGAACGCATCATCGACCGAGTGGTTCGGCCTGAAGCCAGCCTGGTCTGGCCCTTGCGCCTGCTGGAGGACGTCACGCAGACGATGGTACAGCATTCGGGAGTATATCTTGTAATGTGTCTTGAGTATGGCAACTGGTCTCCAGTTTTGCGGCTGTGCCAAATCCCCAGACTTAGGAGCATTGCAAACAACGTGTCTTTCCAAGACTCTTCCACTTCTCCAGTCAACAGAATCTGGGTGTAGAAAACAATAGCCATTCGATGAACGTGCCGGAAGCATGCTTGAACATCTCCGCAACGATGCCATCAGTGTCGGCGCCCTTCTTCTTATTCAAAGCCCAGAATATTTTTTCAGCTTCATCCTGGTGATCTGGGGATGTTGGTGAACACGCGTCGGTCGGTCATCTCCGGTGGCGGCACGGCTGTAGACGAGAAGATGTTCTCCAAGAAGCCCGCCAACTATTCAGTAGAAAATTGCGCATCAACTACATCTTTTCCTTTTTGGTCTGGGAAGAACTTTGTTGCTGCGAGCCGTTGTAGATCGCAGAACTCGCCGAGGATCTGTTCGGTGCGCCTTGCTTTTCTGCTCCGCAGCTCGGCGCGCACAACCCTGCGAATACGTTTGGAAATGTCCCGTCTGGGTGCGGACCCGTATGGGCGAGCACGACGTTGACGCAAGAGCTCTTGGAAAGCAGTCAGTTTGCTCTTCCTGCTGTTGGACGTACCCTGGTGCATCGGCGGCAAAGCACGCGTCCAGGTCGGACAGATTCCCTGGCGGACGATCGTGCAAATATGCGTCGAAATCGTGACCGTAATCAGCATCACCACGTGGTTGCCAACCTCGGTGGTTCCGCTTCTGCTGGCGCTTCCGGGTACGGATTCTCATAGTCAAGTGTGCAAGTACGGCCTTGTGGTCCGATCCCAAGCTTAAGAAATCAACCGCTCTACTGCCCACCACGTGAAGGGAGCCAGGCACTAAGAGGAAATCAATGCACCTTGTGTGTCCAAGGCTCAATCGAAAAGTCCACGCGTCTGCGTAGTTCAGCCTGGGTGGAAAGTTTGCTAATTCAAAGTCATGGCACGCTACGAACTCATTCAGTCTTTGCCCCCGTGGGCCGATATTGTATTGCGTATGCCAACCGCCACCACTAATTTCTTGACTTCTTCCTCTCTGGGCCGCGCGCGCCATGTTAGCGAGCTGGTCGTAGAACTCTGTGAGCTCATCCAGAGAGAAACTAGCATGAGGAACATAAGGAGGGAGCAGGGAGGAGGGAGGAGGGAGGAGGGAGGAGGGAGAAGGGAGGAGGGAGGAGGGAGGAGGGAGGAGGGAGGAGGGAGTTGAACTACATGTGTATGGACGTTTCCCCAGTGCGATGTCTAATCTGATCATGCGGCCAGCCTCCGCAACCACCCTGCGAATACTCTGGACGTGGCGCTCGTGCACCAAGACGCCAACGCCCGCAGCAGCATAACCATATCTATAGAAAACTGATGCCCACCTTCTAATGTAAGTTCTGTTGAAAGCGCCCCTGCGTCGCTGAGCATGATGATATCCCAATCAACATCTGTCAACTCAGCCATGAATTCAACTATTTGCGCATTCGTTCGTAATCTCGCATTCTTACTGTGGACATGCAAATCCCCTGTCAAGGTAGGGGGTGAAACGTGGTTTGACCGGTGCTGACCCTATTTGGCCAATGGCTTCCCTTTCCCTTTGCCTTTGTCCCTAACTGCCTCTAAAGACTTCTGGCATTTTTCGCACAACGCCTTGTAATCACCGTCGCTGTGGAGATACCCCCAATTCTTCCACTCCTCGCTCAACCACTTGTTCCCCAAACAGGTAGCAGACAGAATCGTCTCAGCACCGATCTTCAAAGTACGAGCCACATCATCAACTTTGATAGCTTTAGAGTTGTACCCCCAATTGGTGAGCAGCTTCTTGAAGCCAAGGACGCGTGCATGGACAGGTTGGTCTTGATTCGCCCACACTCTTTTTCCAGAGCACGTGATGGATGCGGTCCGGAACTTGTGCACGACTGCCTGGAGGTCGTCCGGGTTGGCCATCTTGCCAAAAACGAGGCTTGAAAATGTGTCTCCCTTGATGAAGATGCCGACGGGTGGTGAAACCTTCGCCTTGCGAATCTCCATTTTGATGAACCTCCTCTAAAGAAGAGAGCCCGTCCAAACCACCGAGTATTGCAGTCACAGCGTCTGCTTTTTCCACTCGGCGTCGAGAGATTCTTCATCATGGTCTCCAACTCTGTCAAGCGGTCTTGCACTGACCCCCGGGTGATCTCCGTGCCATCCGAGCGCGGAGTGTCTTGGGCCGACGTTGTTTCCAGTACCTCCACTCGTTGCGAAATGGTCTCCATGTCTTGCATGATCGGTTGCAGAGCTCCGTCAAGGTCGTCGCGAGAAACACTATGGCTGATATGTCTTGGCGTATTGACGCCAGATGCTCCTCCAGACGACGCGCCATAGAAGAAACGTGAACGAATCGTTCTCCTGTGGGTGCTGTTGTTGGAAGTCCCAGGGCAGCTCCTGCGACTGCGCCCGCGGTGTTCTCCCCCGCTGACGGCCCAGAACCTCCTGTCCCTGAGCCCCTTCAGGCCTCGGAACACATTGGCGAACATTCCTGCCACACTCAGCCGTCCAACGCCTCCCTTTCCCCCCCAGTGTTCAGAGTCGGCGGTGGGCCAGACGAGATGCACCTCGACCGCAGCCTCCCCCGCACGTGCCAGCATTGAGTTTTGGAGGGGGAGGGGGAGTGTTCAGTAATTGTTTCCCTCTACCGTTGCTCCACTGTCGTCCTCAGGCCCACCCATCGAACATCAGCCTGGTCCCCAACGGGCCCACGACCTCGCCGTCCCCGGTGGCTCAAGCAGGGTCAAGCTCGGGTGGCCCACGGCATCGCTCGGACGTGTGCATTTTTCCTTAGGCGAGGACCATCGAGGAGCATCCTTGATCATGTGGCGAAAAAACCACGCACGAAACCGAAAAAAGCACAGGGAATGGATGTCCGAGCGATGGCCAGACCCCTTGCTCCACTGTCGTCCTCAAGCCCACCCATCAAACATCAGCCTGGTCCCCAACGGGCCCACCTCGCCGTCCCTGGTGGCTCAGGCAGGGTCGAGCTCGGTCGGCCCACGGCATCGCTCGGACGTGTGTATTTTTCCTTAGGCGAGGACCATCGAGGAGCATCCTTGATCATTTGGCGAAGAAACCACGCACGAGACCGAACAAAATCACAGGGAATGGACGTCCGAGCGATGGCCAGTGGCCGGAAAACGTTTCCCAGTTTTCTTGTACTCAGCAGTATGAGATCCGTCCTCACATCCTACACTTCGCCACCACATCGATGGCTTTGACTGGTACCCCTGTGAGGCAACTTTTCAAACCCCACAGGGTCCACAGCCCACTTCAATGTCTGCTTGACTTGGCATCCTTCCAATGCCAGTTTGGATAGGGATCGAAGTCAGGTCGTGGACGCGCCTCGCTCGCGGTGATCATCTGAGGCCAATGTGTTCGAGCGCCTCCTGACCTGCGAGACCTTCTCCCTCGTCGAGGCCCGCGAGCAGATCCTTCAGCTGCTCACGAGCAACCCGGAGACGCTGCTGGAGCTGGCCAAGGACCCGGAGATCCTGAAGGTGCCGGCCGTGATGCAGGACTTGCTGATCAGGACCTACAACCTGCTGGGCGTGGGGTCCAAGGCCGAGGGCAGGGCGCGGGCCGTCCGCTCTCCGATTCCACCACGTGCTCGGATCCGGGGATGGTGGCAACGATGCCTGCGACAGTAATGCGGATGGTGATGACGGCGACGATGATCGTGATGATCGTATAGCCGTATCGCGGCGTGTGCCGGGCCCTCCTGTCCTTGTCTCTGGGCCCTGAAGCAGATCGCCAAATGCCCCTGCCTCCCTTCCTCTGCGCTCCTCGCACGCCCTCCTCCTCTCCTTCTCTCGCCCTCCGCCCCACGCCACGCTCCCAGCTCTCCCGCGTTTGCCCCTCCCTCGCCCTGCGTCTCTCTCTTGTGAGCTCCTTGGCCGCCCTCCCCCCCCCCCCCCTCCCCGTGCACCGGGAGCGCGCGGCTCGGGGTCGGGGTGCTGCCCAGTGTGTTTCCGCGTGGCGCCCGCGCGCCGCGCGGCAGCCTGCGCAGTGCCCCGCCCCTCCTGGGTGCTGCCCGGGCGTGCCGCTGCCGTCGCATTGTGTCGGCGACTACAATGAAGTCGGGCCCGGCCCTCTACAGGGGGAATATCCAGAAACAGTCAAAAAATAGTCAGGGGACGGATTTTGTTTATACCAATTTTTTGAGTATTTGAGGATATTTCTTGACCATGTCTATTTTTCGTCCACGATCCCCCTGTAGGGGGACAGGCCCGACTTACGACTACAATCGGTGCGGTTGCGCCAGGGTGCGGTCTGCGAGTTGCTTCGTGGCGGCCTGTGTGGGGCCTTCTGCGAGAGACAGTGTCATCGGTGTCGTCGTCTCGAGCGCGACACTGTCGTCCTCGATGTGTGCTCCACAGTACCAGAAGGAGCGACAGTGTCATGTGATTCGGCCGCATTGAGTGACAGTGTCGTCCGTTTCCCGGGGGCGGGAGGGGCATAAACGACGGGAGGCAAGCCGCACCCTTCGCAAACCGCAGCCACTGTAGTCGCCGATGTGTGGCGTGGCGTCTTGCGCGGTGCACTTCTCTTCTTGGGATGCCGCCAGGCGCGCAGCGGCCGCAGTCTTGTCGCGTTGCTCATGGGGGGGGTCAGCGGAGTGGTGCCTGCGCGGGTCGAAGTCGTACCTCGCCGTCCATGGGTGATGCCAGGCGTGCAACCGTCGCCACTTGTGTTGCGTCCTTGCGTATCCAGCGGAGTGGCGTCCTAAGCGGATCGAAGCCAGACCTCGCACTCCGTGCGTGCAGCTTGGCGTGCATCTGTCGCCGCCGTGCTGCGCCATTTAGGGGTCCAGCGGAGTGGAGTCTTACGCAGATCGAAGCTATGCCTCGCCCTCCGTTGTTGTAGGCCTGTCGCCACTTTGCTACGCCCATGCGGGGTCCAGCGGAGTAGCGCCCTCTGCGAGTCGTCGCAAGGCCTCGCCCTACTCTTCTCATTCGGGTCTGTCACGAGAGCCATCCAGGACAAAGGTTCCTCCTCTGGCGTAAAGGCCACGTCCGAGCTAGGCAAGGCCACGACATCTATCAGGCCTCACAGTGTGGCAATCTGATGAGGCGCCCTGAGCCTCATCTCGTGACACTCTGGACATCTCGCTCGCTCAGGGCCCCGTCCTCGCCGGGGGTTCTGGGGCTACCAGCCGCTCTGGCTGCGGGATCAGTCCCAGCTTCCAGCTGCAACGCATCAAGGTCTTGAAAGTCGTCGCGGCGAACACGTCGAAACACACAACCTCCAGGGCCTGTCTTCCATCACCACCGCCACAAGTTGGAGGGGGAGAGGTTCCTCTTCCCCCTCCTCCTCCTCCTCCTCCTCCTCCTCCTCCTCCTCCTCCTCCTCCTCCTCCTCCTCCTCCTCCTCCCCCTCACCCTCCACCCCCTTCCCCCTCCAACCTGTGGTGGTGGCGGTGGAAGGCAGGCCCACCATAACCACGTGCGGGTTCTTGCACCTCCAGGGGCCCGCGCGGACCTCTCGGGCTTCCGCGCTCGACCCCCTCCGGGGCGGCGCGCGCGCGGCCTCCCACGGCGAGCTCCGCGCGCTAGCGGAGGGGGGCCCAGCGCCCGACCCCGGGACTCCGCGAGGACCTCCACAAGCACCTCCTCCTCCTCCCTCCTCCTCCTCCTCCTTCTCCTGCTACTCCTGCTCCTCCTCCTCCTCCTCCTCCTCCTCGTCCCCCTCCTCCTCCTCCTCCTCCTCCTCCTTCTCCTCCTCCTTCTCCTGCTCCTGCTCCTCCTCCTCCTCCTCCTCCTTCTCCTGCTCCTCCTTCTCCTGCTCCTCCTCCTCCTCCTCCTCCTCTTCCCCCTCCTCTCTTGCTCACAAGGCTTCCGTCGTTCCGCCGACCCCCGGAGGAGGAGCTGTGCTCTTCCGATCTCGCGCGCCTTGTTTGCCGCTCTCCGTCGTGCTCCCTGCGCGTAGCGTTGTGTGTCCTCCTCGCCTCTCCGCGTCTGCGGCGAGGCTGCTCGTGGGCCTCCTGGATGTCTCTGGGGCGGCCTTGTCGGAGCCCCCGCTCGGGGCTCCCGGGGGCGTCTTGAAGCCCTCTGGGGGCTTCTTGGGAGCCGTTCGGGGACACGCTGGGAGTGTTGGGGCAGTCTTGTGCGGGAGGGCTCCGTGGGCTCCTCTTGGGCCCCATCCTGGGCCCATCTTAAAAGCAGGTTTGGCTGCCTTGAGGACCTCTTGGGTCGTCCTTGGGCCCTCTTGGGCCGTCTCTGGGCCATCGCGGGGGCTTCCTTGGGCCGTCGTGGGCTGGTCTGGCGGGGCCTCGTGGGCCGCCCAGGGCTTGCCGAAGCCCGAAGAGGCAAGCGGGAGAACACGTCCAAAGACCTCAGGAAAACCCGTGCCCTGTACAGATTCAAGCCCTCTTCCCGTAGACGGGCTAACGGCGATGTAGGTAACGGCGATGTAGGTTTCGGTAGTGTGGGAACGCGTGGCTCGCGCTTTCCTACAATTCGCTGTGTCGTGTTCGCTCGATCCGTTCGCAGACAGGAGATGTAGGAAACTGTCGTTCGGGATGTTCTACGATGTAGTTCCCAACATCACCGTTGAGCAACATCGCTGTTAGCCCGCCCTTGGTCTTCGGGGATCCCGTGGAAACCTCTGACCCTCCTATGGCGCCGTGGGCATCTCGAGGAGGCCGCGGGCGGTAGCTTTGGAGGCACCCCGCGGGCCCCGACGGGTGCGCTGCCGAGCTCGTTCCCCCGGCCCCCCCTCCCCCTGGCAGGGAGTGCAGTTCGGGAGTGTGCAATTTTCGGGGGCCCCCAAGCGGGGTGGTGACCACACCGTGTGGTGAGTCGGTGGGGATTCGGGGTCGCCGCACGGTTTTGGGACTCGGGTCGTTCTCCGAGGACGTCTCGGGCGGCTGGAGCCTCCGGGGTCCCAGGACCGTGCGGTGACGGACCGTGCGGTGAGGTCTTTGCGGATTTCGAGGTCACCGCCGGGTCTGTCACGACACGGTTTTGGGACACCCAAGCAATGATGTTCGCTCGTGCTGTGTCTCGCGTCACCCAGCTGGCCCTCTCGGGGGGACGCGTGCCTCGGAGGTGCTGGCAGGCCAGCGGCACTGGTCTGCCAGCACCTCCGAGGCGCCTGCCAACAAATTCAAGAATCAAGTAACATTTGACTTGGCAATTTCAATTCGTAGGCAATTCAATGTTGTAGTCGTCGAGCTATATGAAGTGCCCCATCAGGGGAGTGCGGGTGGCGGATTTGATGGTGTCGATTTTTTCGTGAGGGCCGAAGCTGCCCACTCCCACCAGAATCCCATGCGAGGAGGCTCGTCAGCTGGCGCACAGGTGGATTCCATGGGCTCGACCCGTCTCGATCCCTGGGGGACTGTTGGACTCCTGGGGGGTGGGGGGGAGGGGGGGAGGAGACAGCCAATGATCTAACATGCCTTCACTCCTGACAATCGGGGGTCGGCGGATGCTACCTGGCATGGGTCAGCGAGCGCGTTCCACCACTCGCGGAGCGTCTACTACTCGCAAACGTCAGTAAACACATACACCTGTTTGCCTCGATGCCATGGATCATAAACTCGCCCGCGACGGATGCAGGCCATTTGCGAGCAGTGGCCCTGCGGCGGGTAGTGGCACGCGCCCGTCTCGTGGGCGAGCACCTGGCGCATCGACGAGGTCGGCCCTCTCGCTCGCCACAGACATGGGGGGCACGTCCAGAGGCGGCGGAAGAGCTGCGTCAGCGGGCTCGCCGCAGAGAGCTCGGCGGTCCTCCCCCCAGCGCCCCCCCCCCCACACGCCTTGCGAGGGCGAGACGATGGCCGCGAGGAGGGACGAGGGAGGAGGCGCCGAGGAGCCCTTCTCTCTGTTCCCTCACCCCCTCCTCGCTCTTCCTGCCTTCTCGCTCTTCCCTCTGCTCCTCCTCGCCCCCTCGCTCTTCCTTCCGCTCCTCCTCGCTCTTCCTTCCTCTCCTCCTCTCCTCCCTGGCTCAAGGCTCAAGCCCCAATCAGTCGGCGATTATCCCCTTTATTCATCGACTCTGTGCCATGGCATGGGCCACAGAGCGATGCAATGCATCGCTGAGCAGTACAGGCTCTTGGTTGGAGAGGATGGCAATACAGACCGGACCCGAGGAAGGAACGCAGAAAATTCGCATAAGTGATCATCGAGAACACTTCGACCCGATATCGGGTGATCAGTTGGATATAATCCGCCGGCTAGGTGAAGTCGAGTCCCCCTCTTTGCGTGCAGGAGTGCAGCCCCATCAAAGTGTAAGCACCCAGTCCTATTGGAGTCAATTGCAGCAGCAGAAGGTACAACTTGGTATGTCGAGGTGCCCAAGTTGGGGTCCGTCGGCAAAGTTCCCAAGGTTGCACTTTCGGAAACTGTTGTGGAGCAGTCAGAACGCACCCCAAACGCTCGTGACACTGTCAGCAGTGACGAACTGAACTGAGATGGCATCCTTCTCGTGAGGCGAGTCACGCATCCAGCAAATAGGATACGATCATGGAAGCAGGGGCCACAGTCGACGATCTCAGAGCGAGCATTCATCGCATATGGGTTGGTTCACCGACTTGACGACCAGACAAATTACATAGACC